TAACAAGGTATGCTCTCAAACCCACGCGCTCAGATACACACCACTCACTATCCCTCTAGGTCGATCTCCCTGAAGGCTACTACTTCGGTGTAAGCGCCTCCTCCGCCGAGAACCCCGACTCCTTCGAAGTTCACAAGTTCGTCGTCTCTACCACCAACTCGTACACGCGCGAAGAGCCCAACCTAAGCAAGAAGGACTACATCAACTCGCAGCAACAACACCAACAACAGCAAAACCTCGCTGCTCAACAAGGCCACGAGCAGCAGACGCACAAGCAGAACCAAGGGCAGCAGAACTACGGTTCTTCCACCTCCCAGCAAGACATCCCCAAGATGCTTGAAGACGTTCTAGCAGGCAACATCCGCTCGCAACAAGACCAATTCGCCGACCTCCACAACCGCATCCAAATCATCAACAACCGCGTCTTCGAAATCGCCGAGACTGTCACACTCATCCACAAGGAGAATATGGAGCGCTGGGAGGAACTCCATCGTCGCATTGTACCAATGGATGACCGCGCAGCGGCCACAATCCGCAACATGGAAAAGGTTGAGCGCACGACTATGCAGATACTGCGAGACATCGAGAGCAAAGATTACAAGGATATGATGCAGCAAATTCATCACGCCCTGGACAGGAACCACGGACACGTCATGTCGAGTTTGCCTGGGATGATGGGTGATGGTAAGTGACAATTCTCAATCCGATGTGTTTTGAGAGGACAGTAAAGCTAACTCGATACCACAGTTGTTGGCAGCCACGGACCCAGCCTAATGACCTTCTTCTTCATCGCGGTCGCTGTTCAGATTATGATCACAGGTGCTTATATCGTTTACAAGAAGAGACGAGGCGGTGCGCCCAAGAAATACTTGTAAACCACTCTCTAGGGGTTTGAGATCAGACCAAGAGACGTGCATATATGTGGACTGGGGAATGTGTACTATACGCTGTACCCGAGAAACGCGTTGTTCTCGGTGTGTTGTTTGTTACCTGGCATGGAATACTACATGGCATTGCTTTTACTGTTAAAGGAGCCAGTGATGTGTACGCGGCGTTTGATTTGTGACTTGCGAGGAAAGCAAGCGGAAGTACGAACTTCGTACTAAGATTCATATTCAGATTGTAAATATCTTCTATGCAATTCTTACCCAAATGAAAACACCATCTATGCAGTAAAGAAAGGAAAGAGGTCAGTCACCACATGCTCTATGCAGCGTCCCAACCATATGTATGCACCCCATCCCCCATAGCAACAGAAACAAATCCCCGACTTCTTAGCCTAACCGCTCATCTTGCGTGGCTCAAGCAGCAACTTGCCCTGCGGTCCAGACTTCTCTTGAAACCCTTCCGTCCTCGAGAACACGCGTTGACCGCGTAGCCAAGTCTCCCTCACAACACCCTTGAGCGTCTTGTTCTCATACGGCGAGACCTTGTTGCGGAAGAGCATCGTGTTAGGCTCGACCTGCATCACCGTTAGCCCACAGCTCATACACAGTTCAAAGAAGAAAAGAGATGGAAGAAAACACATACCAAGAACTCGGCCTCATCGTCAAAAACCACAATATCAGCATCAAATCCCACACTAATATCGCCCTTGCTCTTCTCAAGCCCAACCTGCTTCGCCGTATTCCTACAGCACCAACGTACAATTTCCTCGATGCTGAAGTCAGGGTTGCGCTTCGTGCCTTCGGTCCACAGGATAGGTAGACCGAGGCCCACGCTCGAGATGCCGCCCCAAGCGCTGAAGAAATCACCTTTTTCTTCTGGTCCTTGGATGTCGGTTGCGCTGCTCTCGCCCGTCTTCTTAGGTGCTAGATGTGGGGGTAAAAGTTTGATCTCAGGCGTGCAAGGGGAGTGATCAGAGACGACTGTTTGAATCACGCCATCGGCTGTGTCTTGAAGCAGTTCTTCCCAGAGGCCATCTTGGTTGGATTGAGAACGGATGGGCGGGCAGCATTTGTGTCTTGTGTCGCCTTCCTGGATGCCTTCTGATGCGAGAGCAAGGTAGTGGAAACAGGTTTCTGCTGTGATTTTGATGCCGTCGGCACGCGCTTTGCGTAGCATGGGGATGGCTTCTATGGCCGAGAGGTGCACGATGTGGAGTTGCAGGTCCGGGGCAAGATGGGCTAGGGAGAGGATTTCGGCTACGGCGCAGGTTTCGAAGGATGGCGGGCGGGATTGCAGGAATGTGTCGTAGGAAGTTAATGGGCCTTTGGGGGCGAGTGGAGGAAGGGATTGTTGCACGTCGTCGCCTACTGAGTCGGTGATGGGTGGGATCATTTCGGCGTGGAACATTAGTGTTGTTGTTGAGTCTTTGAGTTCGAGGAGAGCCTTTTCGATGTCGAGGGATGAGACGGCGGGGAACTCGTCGACCTAGAGAGTGGTTAGTGTCACGTGCTGGGATGCTGAGATAAATATACTTACTCCACTGTCGCAAAGGAAACCCTTGAAGCCCCGAACACCCTCCTTGACTAAAGCCTTGAGGTCTCCAGAGTTTCCGGGGATGATGCCACCGTAGAAGCCTACATCAACCCAGCACTTTCCCTGTGATGCTTCGCATTTGATCTTGAGGTTCTCGACAGTAGTCGTAGGAGGGATAGCGTTTAAAGGCATGTCAATGACAGTTGTGACACCGCCGAAGGCCGCAGCCCGGGTACCAGTCCAGAAGCCTTCCCATTCTGTCCGACCAGGCTCGTTGAGGTGTACATGGGCATCGACAAGACCAGGTAGTAAGATGTGTGGCGAGTAGTCGGTGTATGGTGTGCCTTCAGGGAAGTCCGTACGAGGAAGTACTGAATGGAAGATGGAAGTGATCTTCCCTGTGAGGTTTGATACAACGATAGTAGCCTCAGTCAACCGACCAGCAACAACTGCTCTTGATGAGGCAAGAACTGTGATGGATTGAATGGGTTGCTCGTGGGAGACGGGTGGAGGCGTGGTTGCGTGGGGTGCCATGATGCCAAGTTGGAAATGTAATCGACTGTGAGAAGACACGGACAAGAAAAGAGTGCGCAAAGAAGTCTGAAGGTGCTCAGCTCCGTGCTAACAGCAAGAGCTATATACAGCAACAAGCCCCGAACTCGGCAAACGCGGGGAAGAAGGTGGGCGTCTCCGGGTGAGCTGCAGATAAGCGTTGATAAGGCACGTTTGGTGTTGCGCCTAACAGATGTCAAAGAGGAAAGTAGATTGTATCTTGCTGAAAGTTGGCAAAGCAGTACTTTCAAACAGAGAAGACGTTTGAGAGAAGAGATGCGCTCAGTAAGTCGTTATCAAAAACGCCAAAACCTGGGGTACAGGTCCTTATCTACCCGTTGGTATGGGCCAGCCCAAAGATCCTCTCGGGGCATTGTAGCCAGAATCTGGGTCAGCTAACATGGCGTCAGGGGACTGTGGAGCATCGGCGAACCCTGGAATACACGTTGCTCGATTCTATCGAGTAACTAGGGTGGAGGTAGTCTATCGCGGCCGCCTTAGCCATGCATCTCGACCCTGTCTCCCGTTGGTCGATTTAGTGTAGATACGAGGCTATTCGCTCCGGTACTGTATGCTATCTCCAGATCGGGCATGCGAGATATTGGCTGTGTATATTGGGCGCGCATCATGAGCTGTTTCTCAGTCGTCGTTGCTCGAAGATTAATTTTCCGAAGACTGGGTAGAGCGTTGGAATCGGTAAACTTCCTAAACGTGTTGCTGCACGTTGTGGATGGTGTTGGGGGACGTGCATGTGTTACTGATAAGCAGCTGCAAGGGTATTGATGCACGCGATAGGCGCACAGCAGATCGCGCGATTAGAGCCCTCAAACTAGCGCAGGGTCAACGGCGGAGCGTCATACTTCTAGAATCTCAGACCCAGGGCTTCAGTGATATTCTGTTCACTGCTTTCTTTACGGTTTGCGTAAAGATTGAATATGGAAACACACTCTTGTCGTGAAACGCTCGTTGGCATAGAAGGTGCGAGTTCGAAGACATCGGAGTAAGGCCCGATTCCATCGGAGAAGCTAAGCATATGTCAGCCAGCGTACCTCCCAACACGACCTTCCCATTACTCGATAGATATCGAGTAAAGGAAATACGATGCGCCGAAGACTGAGGCCAGCCGTTGACTAGTCCAATGCGAACGCCCTGACTGTTCGGGGCTGGCCGACAGCCATATCATCAACCGAGAACCCGAACGCGCCCGGGTCATGCTGGTGCCATTCTTCTACCCACCTCGTCCAAGCAAGCGCGACTACACCTGGACATTTTACTGAGACCCCGAAATGCGAGGATATGTATAGAGGTGAAGAGACGGCCATACTGTGGTTTCGGAGGTTTCCGATGTTTCTGTCATGCTATGATCGTCGGTGGGAGTCGTCTATCGCAAGCGGCGAACTACGGCACTGAAGCCCTGTCCTCAGGGTAACTATCGAGTAACGAAAACTCGACGCCTCTCGGTTTCTGGAATTTTCAGTAGCGCGCCAACACAACGGACGTCGCAAAGACCATAGCTACTCTCGACTCGCTCTGGCGGCCGGCAGGCTTTGCAGGCACGATGGGCCGAACTGCCTCTACATTGGCTGCCTGCGCCTACGGGCAGCTCGGTAAAGACCTTGCAGATGCGCTTCAACGCCGAAGACAAGTTTTGCTTACGTTTGCCCGGGTGATTGAAGGCGTGTTGCTCAGCATGGTACGCAATGGTCCTAGCCGGCATGTCAAACGGGCTGCTGCGTCCGACAGCGGCTCGGTGATCAGCGTCGACAGGCATAACCGCATGCCTGACGCGTACTTGTTTGTCTGTGAACGGTGTCTGTAATATTCATGCACTGGCTGCCACATTCAGAACGACCAGGCAAGTGGGAAGATCAGCTCAAAGCACTTCAACGAATCTTGGTAAGCTGGGATTGTTTGTCATACGAGAGAGGGTCAGCAACACCTGTAGCTTCTTTGAGAGTTTCGTTGGTTGAATATGCCTGACGACCCCGCCCCCAAACAGCGTAGCAGCTAACGATGTACACCCAAGCTCACTTCTTCAGCGTCGACTGCTTCGTCTGCGGAAACGAGGATGACTTTGACACTTTGTTAGCTGCCAACAGAGTTCGTGAGTTGTAAAGACTGGCTTGGAGTCCATATTCTGCAGCCGTTTCGCGTCTAAGATCCAGATAGGTGTAGGCATCTGGTTTGTAGTAAATGGTCCTGCCGACGTTGATGAGACCCATGGTCTCAAGCTCGTGGAGTACTCGCAGTACATCGTCAGCATCCAGGAAGTCATTTGTGTAGACACAGACTACGAAAGGTATTGCGTCAGTAATTGTGCACTATCTGTCGTACGTCGGACTTACTTAGTCGCTCGTCCTTGCCGTCGTCTGTGGCCACCTTGCAGGTACAGCCAAGTCGATTATCGATCACATTTGCGACGACTTGCTTCCAGACCCGAGCAACTTCCACAGCTTTGGGGAACAACATCCACTAACACCAGTCAGTGATTTGAAGAAGTGAATAATCGGGCAGCTAATGGAACTTACCTTCCCGGACATAACATGCGTGTCCTTTGCAAGGTCCGAGATCCGTTCTTGTAGAGCTTTGCTCTCTTGAAGGAGCTGTTTAGTGACCATTCCCCTAGGCCCCTTCGCGCCTTCTTTCTGGATGTTGCGGCGGGTCTGGAGCGACTGTTGAAGCAACTCCGTGCCACGCGATGTAAAGTCTTGAACACGCGGCGAAGGTGACTTGTCGCGAGGATTGCGATACGGATTAGCAGCCCGGATCCAGGGACATGTAGAGATGGAGGTTGTATATGGAGGAAGTCGCCTGACAAAGTCATCAACAGGCTCGCCTAGCTGCCACGCATCATCCTGTCCTTCCAAAGGATTGAACAGTTCAAGGTTCGAGGCCGGCACAGGTGAGGGCTCTCGCTTTCGCTTGCCTTGTCTTGCCAATCGCTCCTGCTCCATAGCTTGGCGGTTGAGACCCGACATGTCGAAGGTGTTAGTCGTTGCTGCAGGTTGCTTGTCTAACACGGCTCCATCTAATGGTGGTGCTAGTGTTCTTGCAGCAGCCGTGATTGTGTTCAGGTCTTTGGCATGTGCGCGCCAGAAAGGTCCGGTCTTGAAGCTTTCACACTTTTTTGATTGGCGCTGTTGTTCATCCTCATCACCTAAATTCACTGTCAGTCACATATTATGGGATTAGCTTGAGGTGTCCAGACTTACCATAGAAACTGCTATCATCTGAGATCCACCCTTCTCCGGACACAGTATCCTCCTCCGCCATATTCCGCACTGTGAGTACTGTCGCAGTTCATGCCCTGCCCTGGTGAGGTTTGAGCAACGTGGAGAATGTTTGCTCGACTTGACGCGATATGACGAGCGATGGTTACACGGATGGGGAAGGAACGAGGGACGGCGGACAAGGGTATCCCTGCAGCCTGAACGCGCCCGCGACCACTATACTCGAACGCGTCGGCCAACTCTTTCACCCCCAGCATCCGCGTCCTCACAACATATCCCTCCAAATTCAATCGCATGACTTCCGAGATGCCGCATTCGGTTACGCCAGATTCAACGCCCGCAGAGGAGTCTTCAACGGCAATGTCCCAGTCGGATGCTATCAAACCCGAGCCGGAGACGCAAGATGTTGCAATGGAAGATGCACCCACAGCCGCCGCGGTAGAGAAGCCCAAGGTGAACCTCGAGGAGCTCTTCGACGATGAAGATTCAGACGAAGAGTTTCCTTCGAGCGCGCCAGCACCTACGTCGCAGGAGGATGCCTCGCAACCCGCACCAATGTACGCCCCACCTACCGACATAATGCATTCATGACGCTTGCTGACACCGATACAGCAAGATCACATCAAAATCCTCCTTCTCCGACCCAGACGTCATGCGCGCATTCTACCAACGCCTGTTCCCCTTCCGTCCCCTCTTTCAATGGCTCAACCATTCCGCAATACCCAGCAACGACTTTGCACACCGCGAATTCGCCTTCACCCTACCCAACGACGCATACCTACGATACCAGTCTTTTCCAACAGCCGATCTCCTGCGGAAGCAATGCATAAACATGCTGCCCTCACGTTTCGAAATCGGTCCCATGTACAGCACAAACCCGAGAGATAGGAAAACGCTACGGAAAGCGAGCTCGTTCCGCCCGCTGATGAAAGAGCTGGTGTTTGATATCGATATGACAGATTACGACGATATCAGAACATGTTGCACAGGTGCGAGCATCTGTCTCAAGTGCTGGGGCTTCATCACAATGGCCATCAAGACCATCGATGTTGCTCTACGGGAAGACTTTGGCTTCAAACATATCCTCTGGGTGTACTCCGGTCGTCGAGGAGCCCACGCCTGGGTCTGCGATAAGCGCGCCCGAGAAATGGACGACCAAAAGCGCCGCTCCGTAGCCGGCTATCTCGAACTACTCAAGGGAGGAGACCAGGGCGGCAAGAAGGTCAACGCGCGACGACCTCTACATCCTCATCTCGAGCGCAGTCTGGCTATCCTGAAAGAGCACTTCCAGACCTCCATTCTCGCTGAACAAGATCCTTGGGCTGCGGAAGAGAAATCCGCGCACCTCCTCGACCTCATCCCAGACCCTACGCTCAGAGCAGCACTAAAGAAGAAGTGGGATTCTGCGCCCTCCCGCCCCAGCGCATCGAAATGGGCCGACATTGACGCGTTAGCCAAATCCGGCGCCTTGTCAAAGACGCCCAAAGACCTTCTCGAAGCGAAGCAAGACATCATCCTAGAATACACATACCCCCGTCTCGATGCCGAAGTCTCTAAGAAACTCAACCATTTGCTCAAGTCGCCATTCGTAATTCACCCCGGAACAGGACGTGTCTGTGTTCCAATCGACACACGGACAGTGGAGGATTTCGATCCGTTGAGCGTACCAACAGTCACGCAGTTACTCCAGGAGATCGACGATTGGTCGGGCGAAGAAACGGATAAGAAGATACAGGACTGGGAGAAGACGAGCTTGAAGCCGTACGTAGACTACTTTCGACGGTTTGTCGCGGGCTTAGTGGACGAGGACAAACCAGCGCTGAAGAGGGAGAGAGAGGAAGGTGCCGATGCTATGGAATTTTGATGATGTACCGTTCACCAAGAACATGAGGGTATGTAAGGCGCCTGGCGTTGGGGACAGAAAGATTGGAATATGTATGATGCATCTCGACGTTCTCAATATCTACCACTACCATACTCACTCGAAGATTCCACACCCCACATCATACCTTAACCAAGATTACCCAATGAACATACATTCCCCTCCATAGTACAATACGGCATCTGAATCGGCTCCGCCCCAATCCCCTTGGCCACCAATCTCTCTCTCATCTCGCTCAACCGAGGCGCTGCATCGATCTGGCTCCTGTTCTGGCCCATCTCGTCCTTGGCACCCGACCATAGTACTTCCGCAGCTGCCGCAGCACGGGGCCAAATCATCCTATCGACATTGACGGGATCGGTTTGCTCGGCCCACATGTGCGCTTCGCCGCCGATGACGAGATGCTGGTTCTCGGCAGGGACGCCGTGTAAAGGGTCGTAAGAGTAGATTAGACGCCAGTTGTGGAAGGGGGCGCAGTAGTCTTGGTAGGGGTAGTATTGCGCGCTGACGGAGGGGTAGAAGTTCAGCCATTGGCCTTTGCCGCAGTCGAGGTACTGTTGGGTGGTTGTCAGTACACGCGAGATTGTCATGGAGAGAGGAACATGTAAGATGGAGAGATAAGATTTTCGCTTACCCAGTAGTTGTAGTTCCCAACTATAGCTTTATGTCCCTTTGACACGATCTGCGCAACTGCCTCGTCGCTCTGCCACGATTGCACGAGTACATCAGAACCGAGCGTTAAGTTCCATTCTAGCAGCATCTCTTCCCACACCACAGGCGTGAGTCCCATGGCGCGTACCTGGTCGTGGTTCCGATCAACAAACTTCTGCATGAGCGGTTGCAGGATAGCTGAATCGTTGCTCTTGACTGTGTCATCAAACAAGTACGCGTTCTTGTTTACTTCATCGCCACCCGTGTGGAAGTACGCCGAGTAGGGAGACACCCTTGGTAGTACATCATCGAAAAGCTTCTCTAGGAAATCATTGACAGCAGGCGAGTTTAGTTTCAGTGTGCCGGAGGGTGGGGAGGCGGCGTATGTGTTCCAGTCTGGCTGAATGCCGAACGCAGCTATGAGCTCTGGGAAGCTATAGTGTATGCTTGAGGTGTGGCCTGGCATGTCGATCTCGGTGATCATTTCTACGCCTTGGAGCGCGGCGTGGCGTTGTATCATCGCGAAGTCGTCCACTGTGAGGACTAGATCTGGTCGGTATGCTCCCTTGGCGGATAGCTCGGGCATGGAGGGGATCTCCAAGGGCCAGGACTGGCTGTCTGTCACGTGGAGATGGAAACGGTTCATTTTGTTGTAGGCAGCAGCGTCGATCTGCCGTTTGATGTCGGCTGTGGAGAAGTAGTTGCGTGACACATCGAGATTGATACCGCGGTGCTGGAACTTCGGACTGTCGGTGATTTGAACAGGTGCCAAGGGGGTGTATACATGTTGCTGATCGGAGTGTGCGTAGAAGAGCTGAGAAAATGTTGTCAAGCCTCGTGCTATCCCTACGCTGGTGTTTGCGCTGATGCTTGCAACACCCTCTTTTGTCAATGAGAGACTATAGGATTCGTCAACCTCTCCAGCAAGTGGCTTGGTGACATTAGGGTCAACGGTTTTGAGCACTTTGACGTCGACGCGGGAGATGTATGACGTATTCGACTGGCTTGGAGACGGCTCATCCCAGTCTCTAGGGTGAAACTTCCATGGGTAAAAGTTGGTTTGGAAGAGTGTTGCCCATGTAGAATTGATGGCGTACACGACAATGTCGTCGCTAGTGATGCCTTCGCCGGTGGCTGTTTCGGACTTTTCGCTAGGTACCGGTCCTGTGTATTGCGTGCGCAATTTCAGGTCGCTGCTGTCATGTGCGTATGGAGCTTGATTAGAATTGAACCCGAAGAGAAAAGTGATCTGATCCATGATTGAGCCTACATTTCTTGCGCCAGGTTCATACCAATAGAATGGTACATCTTGTTTAATGAAAAGAACAGCATCGCCATATTCATGGGAGACAGGTACAGGCCAAATTGCTGCTGCTGCGGATATGAGAAGAGATAGTGTAGTACATGTAAGAGGCTTCATGATGCAAAGAGACCAGGTCAAGACTGGAAGAATCAAAAGATCGTTGAATAGGAGAGAAGAGACGGGTGGATTGCAATCTATGTATAAGAGCGAAAACTGGCGCAAGGCATTATACCTATGTAGGCCCGATCCGGTTGCTCCGAATGGTTTCTCGAAGCGTAAGCTCCTGCGGTATTCCCGGCAGTTGCAACGGTTGATAATATATCGATGCCGGTAGAATATACAGACTCAGTCTGAGATAAGCAAGTAGTAACCTTGTGGTTGTATCGCGGTCATTGACTGGAGAGTTCAACTAATGCGAGCTAGCCCTGAAGTGGGGTAAACCATGGACTCGAGCAAGAGGTGCGATGACGTGCGGGCGTCCAGCTGTCAGCCTCCTCTTCGTCGAAACTTTATCAGCTTCGACGTAAGTTCCAAGCTGTTGTAATGTGCCACCTGAGCCACGCTCTCCACATCTCATGATATTCTGGGGTTTCCCGCGGGTTGATGCTGACGGCACGATGCAGCCGACTCGGCAATTTGGGCGATCGGCGAGGAGATGACAGGAGGTATACGCGTCGCACGTTTTCCCGCAAGCAAGTAGCTGACCCTTCGCCAGACACATACATACAGTCTTCTGATGTGTATGCAGTCCATTATGACAGCAGTATGGAGGTCGGAATCCCAAGTCTTCCAGAATTCGTCCGAGCGGCCACGATGCTACCACTATCCCCACATGGCCCAGCTATCTCGATCGCTCTTCCCCGCTTTTGCAGGGCATCAGGGATGTGCATGAGCGCACCACGTCTACGCGAG